CTTCCCTGCTTTGTGGTACTAGGGATTGAACCTAGGGCCTTTGTACTAAGCTAACTCCCTAACCCTTTTTATTTTTATATTTTGAGACAGGGTCTCACTCAGTGAATAAGATGCCCGGGCTGGGCATGAGATTGTGATCCTCTTGCCTCACCTTCCCAGAATGCTGGGATTACAGATATGCGCCACCATGCCTGGTTGAAAATTAACCACTTTAAAGTATATAATTCCATGCCATTTAGTACATTTTTGATGTTATACAACCATCATTTCCATCTAATTTCAAACCATGTATCATCATTTTTAGTTTTTTTACGCCAGGATCTTGCTATATAATTTAGACTGGCCTGCAACTCACTGTGTGGCTTAGGCTGGCCTTAAGCTTGTCACAGTTCTGCTTCAGCCTGCCTAGTGCTGGGATTGCAGACATGCACCACTATGCCTGGTTCCAAAACATTTTTATCATTTTCAAAAGGAACCTCCTACTCATTAAATAGTCATTCTTCATTTCTTTCTTTTTTTTTTTTTAAATTTTTATTTATTTGTGGGGGGGGGCAGCTCAGCCCACCAGGAGGCGGGGCTGGCTGGCATGTGGTGCTGGGGGATTGAACCGCGGTCCCTGTATCTTGCTGAGCTTGTTCTAAGTAGGTGCTTTAGACCACTGAGCCATCTCACCAGCCCCTCTAGTTGTTTTTCTTTCAACCTTTATCTTTTTGCCTAAATCTAGCTCAGTCAGGATGCAAAAGTAAACCTGTTGAGTGACTCTTGTGGTAGCAGCCAGGGCTTTCCAAGCAAACAAAGTGGCTCTGGGATTCTGGCAGGTACAGACCCATGAAGTAAACAGGAACAGAGGAGAGGTGATTCCTATGCCAGTGAGGGAACTGCTGGTATCACTGGAGAGGCACAATCCCCAGAAGCATGGAGCATATGCAGAACACGATGGGAAAAGGCAGCTCAGCCTGAAAGGTTGGGACCACTCAGGCTCCTTCCTGCAAAGGTACAGCTGTCCAACAACAGTGAAGCCCACAAAGAACCAGCAGCTTAACTGAAGTAGTTAATGAGCAGGAAAACATCCCCCACATGCTGGTCATAGTGCAACTCAACAAGAAAGCAGGGATAGGTGTAAAACACTCAGCATGCATCATGGACAGAAGGTCTGGAAGACGGCCCTCAAGGGAGCCCACAAAGAACAACCTTGACGAAGCAAGGATAGGTGCATTAAGGTCCCAAAAGCAAGACAGAGCAACAGCAATGGGGATGATCCAGCTTGACATGCCAAACTTCTGGTTGGCAAATGCCACAGTTAGTGCATTGGTGTTCAGAACATCCCAAACGCTCAGCACTGTGTAACAGGCCAGCTTGGGCAGAATGTAGATCAGTGTCACAACTGTCATAGAGATCCCAATAGCCAAGAGAAAATTTTTTTTAAATTTCTTCTGCTAAAATTAAGGGTATCCAAACATGATTATGAGAAGAGGGCACAGTACAACCCAAGAGAAAGGCCTCCCACATTCCAAAAGAAACCCTCAAAAGTGCTCACAGTGTCCCTGGCACAATTTAATAAGGCCCACAATAATGACAGCAATGAGTGCTAGGACCTTGGCATAGGTGAATGCATTCTGTCCTCCTGAGCCCCACTTGACTGAGGCACAGTTCACAAATGTCAGCGGACATACACAAGTAGCAGTGAGGAGACAGCAGGCCAGGTACGGGGCTTCGCAGGTGGGGAAGGAGGGCTGGATGATGTAGTTGGTAAAGGTATGGTGACGATGGCCTGGCTGGCAGGCTCAACAATGAGCAGTGAGGCCCACAGGCAGATGAAGGCAATGAAGCCCCCACAGGCTTCTAGGACATAAGCATATCTGGCCCCTGATTGGTGATGGTGGTCCTCTGCTCATCATAAAAAGGGCACCCACAAGAGAGAAGAGTGCACCAATGGCCCACGTGACCAGTGACAATCCAGAGGAGGCTGCAACACACTGGGAGAGACAACCCTGAGTTGATCACGTTGCCCACCACAGGCTAATCCCATTTGGCAGCATAGCTTCCAGGGACCCTTCAGGTGGTGAGCTGACATCTTCCATCTTGGGCTGGCTGGCACCAAGATGATGGTAGGGGGCCATGGGACTCTCAAACTCCTTGGCTTCCATGGCAAATGTTCCTGCACACCTGTGTTTACTGTGGCCTCTAATTACCAGGCATACCCAGGGTACTCTGTTACTCTATGGCCAAGGCCTCTAAACCCTACACTCCTTGTTTCTGGTTTTACCTTTCTTTACCCCCTTAAAATCAGGGTCCCTGGAGCCGGCGAGATAGCTCAGGGGAATAAGCACTTGCCTGGCAAGTGCAAGGGCCTGAGTTCAATCCCCGGTTCGGCAAATAAAAAAAACAAAAAAACCGGGTCCCAGTAGATTGCCCAAACTGGCCTCAAGCAATGGATCCTCTTGGCTGAACTCCAAGCAGCTGGGACTACAGACTGGTGCCACCTGTCAAGGCTTTTTTTTTTTCCCCCTTTACTTTTCAAGGTGGTGAAGGAGAAAGACTCTGTTGCTAATGTATAACCATCCTGTACTCCTTCCTCAAAAATAAAACAAAGCTCTCTTCAACATGAACAGGATTAACTGGGATGGTGTAGACAAAATTAACCATACTATTAACAAGCCCTGATTTAAAAGTAACACTGAAGTACTTAACAATCTTGCTATGTAGTTCAGGCTGGTCTGGTCTCCAACACATGGTGACCCTTCTGCCTCAGCCTCCCTGGCACTCAAATTACAGGCCAGTGCCACCATGACCAGCTAGTGAAGATCTCTGCGTATGAAGAAAGTTTCTGCTTTCCTTTGCTGGGAACTGTTTTTACATAGAAGAGTCTGTGACTAGAACTATCAAGGAAGTCCCAAGAAATCCGGGTTTCCTCTTGGCCAGACTCCCTGAGCAACTGAATCCCTGGTACATCAGCATTATCTTCCACTCCTACAAACCTTTAGCTCCGAAACGGGATACAGTATTGGCTTCAAGTGCTTAGCCATAGAAGATACATTCTTCTTTGTCTCAGTCTCTTGGGCCGGCCTGAGCTACCTGTCAAGACCCTGTCTCGAAAACAAACAAGTTCTTCAGTGTCTGCCTTTTTGTAAAAATGTTTTTAAGAGCTCTCGCTTGATAGAACCGGCCATCCCTGAATTCCCCAAGTCACACAGGCTGGCAGCGTGGAACTCGCACTCCTCTGATCTCAGTTGGGATTATAGTGACAAAATTCAGAGTGGATCTGAACCAATTACGTATCTTTTTTTCTTTTCTTTTTTTTGGCAGAACCGGGAATTGAACTCGGACCCTTGCCCTTGCTGGGGAAGCACTTAATCTACTGAGCCATCTCCCCGGCTCCTAAATTACATTTCAATGAACCAGCCCCAAAGGAGCAAATTACCCGGACTAGGTGAGTTAATTTTTTTTTTTAATAAAAATAAACTCAGTCCATGTCCATAACAGGATCAGTCTTCCAATAATCCCAGGATGGAGGCAGTGGGGGTGCTTTCCCATTTAAAAAAAAAAAAAAAATCAGGGAACTAAGGTCCAAAAAGCCTAAGTGACTCGCTTCTGTGGCTGGCCAGCCGTGGCCACCCAACTTGGCCTCACCTCCTCGCAGCATCTAAAGCCGGAGCAGCCACAGCCCAGCTCCGGGAGCCGCAGCGACGAGGTTACTGTAAGGGACCCGCACTTCCGCCTGCCCGGCCCAGCCGCCCCGCGCCCGTCCGGCTGTCACGAGTTGTCCCCGGGCCCTCCCGGGCGCGCGCTGATTGGGCAGCTGCTCGCTGCGGATTGGCTGTCCCGGTTCCGGCTCTCCAGCGCGGCCCGGACCAACCGGATATAGCGGCCGGGCTTCCGTTTCTACCTTCTCGCCCGCTCCGCCCCTCCGGCTCGTTCTCCGGCTGTAGTCGCCAGCACAGCGGCCGCTTCCGGGCTCCGTGTACGTGTGTGTCGGTCACTGGGATTCAGCGTCGGTGTCGTCGGTGCCGGTGACCTGTCCGCATGGCTGACCTAGATCCGTTCGGCGCCCCCGTCGGCCCCGCGCTGGGGAACGGGGTGGCCGGCGAGGAAGACCCGGCCGCGGCCTTCCTGGCGCAGCAGGAAAGCGAGATTGCGGGCATCGAGAACGACGAGGCCTTCGCCATCCTGGACGGCGGCGCCCCCGGGCCCCAGCCCCACGGCGAGCCGCCGGGGGGTCCGGGTGAGAGTGCGGGCGCGCTGGGCGGGAGGAGTTGTGCGGAAACTCGGCCCGAGTGGCTCCGGGAGTTTCCGTTTGGCCCGCGCTGTGTGCCGAGCCACAGGCTGGGCAGGACCGCGAAGAGGAAATGAGCCCGGCCGGAGCGGGGCCCGGGCGCCCTGCCGAGGGTCGCTGGGCGCGCCGGAGCCGGTAGGAGCGGGGCGGCTGCGCGGCGCGGGCCCGAGGGAGCCCCTGGGGTCAACTTTTTCCTCAGGCTCTTGCAGTGGTACGCCAGGTCTCTGAAGCCGTCGCATTGACGCAGTTGGGTCATATTTAAAAGCAACTCAGCCTAGAAAAAGCCATTTATTGGGAAGGGAGGGGAGAAAGAATAAGAATCGCAGTACCGTTTTTGAGACATCAATAGCAGAAACAGCATGTAAGTCAGCACATGGGGTGTACAGTGCGGGGCTGTGGGAAGGAACCGAAGGAGTAAGGAACTCGAGATAGATGCTCGAGCCTTACAGAAAGAAACTCCGGATCAGAGGGCTAGGAGTTTACCACGGTTGAGTGTCTGTCTGGAGGAGCTCTTCTTCCCCTGGGAACAGCTTCGGTAAGCACAATTGCTTTAGAAGAACCCAAGATTAGCCTGGCCCAAGGGGCGGGGGGGGGGGTGCAGTGTGGCCTTTCTCCAGCCAGACTGGGAGGTGGAGAGTGGGGGTGGGTAGGATGACAGTTTGACCTTTGAATGCCTTACCTACATGTGATGCTTAGGGTGGGGTGGGGGGAGTGAAAAAGACCTATTCAGTAGTATAGAGCATTAGCTAGAAGAAACAATGTGACTTTTAATTTACTTAATAAAATATTCCAACTAAAGGCAAAAGGGACACTATTAGAGCAAATGAGGGGGTCTGTACTACCCTAAACTCAAACCTTGAGGGGCCAGATGAGAGAGGAGGCATTAAGGAACGTTGGGGACTTGGGCTTTGGTAAAGAAGTGTCCTGAGTGTATTTGAGATACAGAAACCTTGAGTTTCTATGCCAGCCAGCCAGAGTCTTCTTGTGGGAAGTAAGAGTAGTTTGCAGTCTCTTGAGTCTTTATACTACATTGTGCCACCTCTTAAGCAAACCAGCTCCCCAGAAAAACATGCAGTAAACCTCAATATACAATTTACAGAAAGCAACTTGGATAGAACTGGGAAACTGGAAGTTGAAGTTGGTGTTAAGTGATTGGGAGCTTTTTTTCGGTTGTTGGATAGTCTAGCATTTACCAGAGAAATGTTCTTACTTTTTAGATCCTTAATTTGCCCTTTCATATAGTAGGAAACTGAATTGTAAAGAGGAGCCTTGCTTCAGAGAGAAAAAGGATGTATTAATAGATGAGCCTCAAGTTGCCCCACTTCTAAAATTTTTTTCTTTCATTTATTTCTCATCTTCTTTTACAAACCCTTGTGTGCAGAGCTGACTTTCAATAGATGGCAGAGTGCCATGCTCCCCACAAGCATGCATTTTAATGTGATGGGCAGTTCTGTCCAGCTCCCCAACTTTAGACTGCACACATTCTATATTGCAGGTGTTTTGGCCAAGGTATGGTGGGATAAAAGAATAGCATTGCAACTGTTTGGCTAGGACAGAATTTGGAGAAACAGAACCCAGAGTTAGAAGGCTGTCCAGATTCAGTAATAATGTTATTCTTTCTCTCTCTCTCTCTCTCTCTCTCTCTCTCTCTCTCTCTCTCTCTCTCTCTCTGTGTGTGTGTGTTTGGTACATGGTCACACAGTGCAGCTGGGACGACTTGTATGATCCTCATGTTTTCAGCCTCCCCAGCACTGGGATTACAGGCTCATGCCACCACGCCTGGACACAGTGCCGACTCAGTGCCGGCTCAGCGCATGTGGAGCCGGGGATTGAACCTAAGCAGGCACTTAGCCCACAGAGCTATCTCACCCACCCAGTAATGTTATTCTTACTCACTGTTGTATCTGCCAAGGTGTCTGGCACATAACAGATGTTCATATACTTGACAGAGAAATGCCACAGAAGAGTTCTGTATGTGTAGCAGTTTGGGAAGGTAAAAGGAAGAAAATAGAGTGGGGCCCTTAGTGTATCAAGCCTTCAGCAAAGGGAAGGAAAGGGATGATTGCTGACTTAGTTCCTGGGAAAGGCATTCTTAATGAACTAAGCATTCAGTGACTTAGTGCCAGATCCCTGACAGTGTGGTTGAGGTTGGTAGTAGTGCAGTGGTCAGCACTTCCCTTTTGGATTTGAGAACTTGTTGGTCTCCACCTGCTCACAGCCCCCCACCCTCTCGTCACCCTAGTGGTAGGATTCTCTGCAACCCTATGCTGCTTGAGTGTTTGTCTCAGGTTTTGTTTGTTTTTGTCTTTTTGAGAAAGGCTTTACTATGCACTTCAGTCTGGTCTTGAAATCACTATGCAGGGGCCAGGGAGATGGTTCAGTAGAATAAGTGCTTGCCTGGCAAGCACAAGGGCCTAAGTTCAATCCCCAGTTCTGTCAAAAAAAAAAAAAAAAAAAAAAAAAAAAAATATATATATATATATATATATATATATATTAATAAATAAAAATCACTATGCAACTGTGGGCTGGACTCAAACTCTTGGCAATCCTCATGCTTCAGCTTCCGAAGTGCTAGGATTATAGGTGTTTGCCACCACATCCAGCCATTTGATTGTGGGTCTAGTTTTGTGGTCTTAGGCAATTTGTATAACTACCATTACAGTCTTTTCTTCTCTATAAAAGGCACATGATATATGCCATATGGTGTTTTTAGGATCACATTAAAGAGTCTTGTAACGTGCTTACTGGTGTATGGTAAGCGAACAGTGAATCCTTGATGCTGTTATTTTTGGAGGGCAGGATGAAGGAGTGTATTAGCTTTGAGGTGTACTGAGTAATTTGAGATTTTAGTAAAAGGCAAAAGATTTATACGATCTGAAGAGAAAACAGAGTATAATTTGAGATTTTAGATTGGGCTTCTGTTTCACTCAGTGATAACCAGTAGTAGGCTATGACAGATAGAGGAGAAAGGTAAAGACTAAAACTCCTCCTAGCCTTGCAGGAATTCCCAAGAATGGGCACAGGCAGAACAAAACCAAGCCTTGGATGGCTCCCTCAGTTGTTAGATAATCCAGAGAAGGACATAAGTGGAGGGGCAGGAGATAGTCAGCTGGGTGCAGTGGCTTGGGGGATACTGAGCAGGACAAGGTGGTCAAGAAGGAGGCAGGGCAGCATAGCAGAGCTGCCCCCAGGGTGTGCAGGGGACAGGAGCAGTGGTAAGGGAGCCAAGGGGAGAAGTAGCAGCAAGGCACTGCTTGCCATGTTTCTGACAAGTCCTGCCTTGGAGGAGAAAGCAGGTGGATGAATGGAAGGGGAACTTTCTGGAGGGAGGGCAGTTTTATTGGTAGCAGTGGTAGAGAGAACTTTAAGGAAATTTCACACCTAGTACTTAAGTGTACTGTACATTTATATCTGCCCTGTAAGTTGAGTGGTTATTCCATCATATTCAGGTGACAGTGGGTCACTGCTTTAGTTAAGCAGTGTTTCTGGGCCAGACAGATAGCTCAGCGGATTAAAGCACCTGCTTAGGCAGACACAGCCCGGGGGTTCAATCCCTTGCGTACCCTACCAGCCCTGCCCCTGAGGCATGCTGAGGTGGAGAATGAGACTGGGTGTGGTGGCGGGCCTGTAACCCCAGCTCTTGGGAGACTGAAAACAGGAGGAGCACTATGAGTCTGATCTGTGTAATAAGACCCTGTAGACACTGTGCTAAATACATTTTTAAAGTGTTTCTAAGGTAGTAAACTAATTAATGGCTTGGTCAAACCTAGGTCTTCTTGACTTCAAATATTTGGGGAACATGGGAAGTTGAAGGTGGGTTTCAGCCTTTCCCTTTTGGAAACTTTCTCTGGTCCTTGTTTGTTTCTGGAGTTTCTAAGATACCCTAGAAAGTTTGCTTCTGGATCATTAAATTGCTTAGCTTAGCTGTCCTGATAAGGGCCCTACCTGGTTCTGTACCAGTGGACTATTCCTTGACTTGGGTCATTTGATTCCTATAAGAATGTCATTATAAATTGGGCATGGTGGCACACGCTGTAATCCCAGCACTCAGGAGGGCGAAGCAGGAGGAGTGCCACAAATTCAAGGCTAGCCTAGCTCCATAGTGATTTCAAGGCCAGTGTGAACAGAGTGAGACCTTATCTCAAAAAACAAAAAAAATGGTAACACTATAGGAATAAAAATCTCAAAGCACGTCCCAAACAATGGATGTGGATGAGTCTTTAGTGACCTAAAGGACAAGCAATACATAACTTTTTTGTTGTTGTTGTTGTCTTTTTTTTTTTTTTTTTTTTTTGGTGGAACTGGGGATTGAACTCAGGCCATTGCACTTGCCAGGGAAGCACTTATTCCACCTACCTATCTGCTATCTCCCCGTAATATATAACTTAAGAGATACTAGATGAGAGTTGTTTCTAGTTTTGTGTATGAAGTAGTGATCAGTGTTTATCCTTCTGAAAGTGGCCCTGGGCTGGAATATATTAACTGGATAGTTGTTATGTTAGCTGTAATATATTAACCATAATATAGACTTGGTCAGAATAGCCATTGTAGATGCTAGGACTTAAAATTACATAATAAATTTTAGATGGATTAAAGAGAGGCATTTTTAAAATTACCAGATGAGGGGTTGGGAATATAGCTCAGTGGCACAAGTGCCTGCCTGGCAAGCGCAAGGTCCTCACTTTGATTTTCAGTTACTCCCCATGCCAAAAGAAAGAAGAAAAGTGGATATTTACCTTATAGTAGGGAAGACTTTCAGCATAAAAGCAGATACAGAAATCGTAAAGGAAAAATTGACAGTGGCTACGTACAAAAAAGTTCATAGGTGTTAAAATGCCATAAAGCAAATTAAAAGACGAGAGAGGTAATATTTACAATATGAGAGAATACTTAGAGATCAAGTGATTGCAAAAAGAACAAGCAAAATTCAATTCAGTGAAGAAGAAAGATCACGTCAGGTATGGTATTATCTCTGTTGTGACTGGCGCAGCCCAGCTTCTTACTTTGTTACATCGATTTAGCAAATACTTTAAAAAATGATATAGCAGTCTGGTATCAATGAAGGACTGAAAAATGGGACATGTGTTAGTGACATAAGCTAGCAGAATACTCAGGGATGGTGTTTAAGAAGTCTTTAAGGTATATAGCCTGTGACCTTTAGTAATTTCTTATAGAGGAGCAGTTGATGTGCCACCAGAGTACTTTCATTCACTTTTTGGTGAACTTTGTATTTCTAAAACTTGGTGGAATGTTCAGTAATTTTTGTTTGTTTTGGTTGCACCTAAATATCATGAAGTAGTAAAAGCTAATTGGCAAAAATCTGTAAAAAATTTCATTTTTGGTAAGTGGCTGAGACAAGAGGATTGTGATTTTGAAGCCAGCCTGGGCTCCACCGCAAAGTTAAGACTCAAAACATTTTTTAGAAGGATAGCTGGGCATGGTGTTGCATGCCTATAATCCCGGCACTTGGGAGGCTGAGGCAGGAGGCTTACTGCAAGCTCAAGGCCAGCCTGGGCTATATGTGAGACTCTTGTCTCAAAAAAGGAAGGCAAAGAAAACAAAGTCATTTTTGTATTCTCATAAAGCACAAGAGTGGTTGTTAGCATGTGTGAAGCCCTGGCTTCAATCCCCAACACCAGAAAAAAGAAGCAAAACACAAACATGAAACAGAGAAATCAGGTCAGGAAAGATGGGGGGTGTTGGCATAAGATACATAAAATCAGCATTGAAAACAGAGCAGTGCCTGGGTGCTTGCTCTGTGCTTAGGTTTTGTAATCATGTATAAAATTAATAGAAGCTCTGGCATCCTGACTTGCTCAAGTTTATTTAGCATTACTTTTGCTAGGGGGTTGTCTCAGTTACTCTTCTCTCATTGCTGGAACAAAATACCCAACATCCAAAATTGGGGAAGGAAAGGTTTATTCAGCTCACAGTTAGTGGAGGTTTCAGTTCATATGCAGCTCCGAGGCAGAGTGGTACATAGTACAGAAGAGCCATTCAAGGCAGCAAAGAGCAAGAACAAAGGGAGGGGGCAGCTAGCTGGCCTCTCTCCCATCCTTACATTGTAATGCAGATTGTTTACCTCAGGGCCAGGGTGTAGCACTCGCACTGCAACCCCAGCATTGAATCAAGAATCAATCACTGAGGGCGTGAGATCAGGCACTTTGAGGGTGGTATGGCCATAGACAAGTGCAAGGGCCTGAGTTCAACTCCTGGTTCCACCAAAAAAAAAAAAAAAAAAAAAAAAAAAAAAAAAAAAAAAAAAAAAAAAACCACGCAGAAGCAAGCGTCTCTGGGTCGAAAGCTTTTCTGTGGACTCCCAGG